CGGCAGCAGGGGCTCAGTGACTGACAGCCCGGACCGGGCCTCAACGTCATCTCTCCGGGACGTCGACGGCGGCCGGCCGCGCGCGCCGATAACGCAAGCACATCTCCCTCCCGGGAGCCGCCGCTTCGCCCTAGCGTGGAGGAAATATGGCGTCCGCCGCAAGGCCTCTCGGGAGTTGTAGTTCAGATTACCAGGGCGCCCAAAACGGCGGCACCCTCTGTCAAAAGAAACCTTCAGTCTTCCCAGCACAGCTCTCCGGGAGAGGCACCGGCCCGGGGCGGCCTGGGAGGCGCCCGTCTTGGCTCTTAGAGAGTTTGAATGGGGCAGAGCCGGACGCGCGACAGGTATGAGTGTAAATGGAATTCCCAGCCCTGCAAAGCCTTTCGCTGCGCTGCCAGGCTGGCTGGGTGGCGATTGGCCAGGCCACGTCTCCCATCTGTTCGCCCCTGAAAGGGAGGCGGCTGCATCAGTGTCTCCCTAACGTGCCTCCGTACCTCCGTGTTGTCTCCGTGCCTCCGGGTTCCAGGACCCTGCAGGTCAGAGCATTTACTCGGTGACTGCTCCGTGCCCAACTGACTGCCAGGCATTGTTGCCAGGTTCCTGCCAGAAAGGACTTGTGTCTCATTCATCCACCTGTAAATATAGGCTTGTGTTGGAATTTGCTCCGCTGCCAATTTAAGCACATTTTGTAATCCGGCTACCTGATACGGAATCGGCGCTTAATAAAACTTTCTTAAAAGAATGAATGAATGAACGAAGGAACACACCAAACCTGGTCTGTGACTTTAGATTTGGGCATGCATTCTTATTGGATCGGGCTCGGTGGGGGTGAATTGGACCAGATGAGGCCTGGGTGAGTAGATATAAACTCAGATATACAGAGCTCAGCGGTCTCCGTGCTGGAGGAGGGTCATCTGGTTGGATGTGACCCTGGGGGTGTAATTCCACCCTTAGGAGGCCCTCAGGTTTGGGCGCTGGTGTGGATTCTCCTGGCAGGCTCCCACAAAGGTCAGCCCAACAGCCTGGCCAGTGTGGCGGTTGTCCTTAGCTCCAGATGTTACAGGTATCCCCTAGCCACCCTCACTTCTCCCTTCCCCACAGAGCTGAGCCTGAGAGATGTTGTCCAAGTCGCAAGAACCTATCGCAGACCCTGGACCTTTAAGTAGTCCTTCAGCCTTTATTTGGAGAGGGATGCTTCTGGAGCTGTCCATTGCGCCTGTGCTGAGCACACAGGAGCTCTGAAAGCAGTCTCCCCTGCATTCGGGAGTGAGACTCCTCTGCCAGTGCTAGTTAGGTGTACCAGAGGCCAAAGCACCTGAGCTTGGGGACGATACATGATGCATGAGGGGCTGTTCACGTGTGTCAGGGCCACATATGAGGGCAGGGAGGTTAGCAAGGCCTAGAAGCCGAGCGGGCGTGTAAGACAGTAAAAGCAGGAACCTGGACCCTACACCTTGTCCCTTGACATTCCGCCCACTGTGATGTGACCTTCAGGCAATGGTTTTTCCTCTTGGAGCCTCTTTCCCCATCTAACGGGTCAGTCATGTCTACCTGGAGGGGAGATGGTAACTGCTGACCTCAGGCCACCTGCTTCTACTGCTCAGGTCAAATGAGGCAGGTGCAGCCTTGCCAGGGCTGTCAGCAGGCTCTACAACTGTCCTGGAATTTGTTAAATGCGAGGGTGAGAGTGAGAGGACAGGACGTTTAGTCTCAGGGTTTCTCGGGATTTGTCCAAGGGCACACTCCCACCTCCTTGGAGGTGGTGTGTGTGTGCGCGTGCGTGTGTGTGCGCGCGCGCAGCTGCTATCCCTTCTCCATGGCAAGAGTCCTGGGGTAGCTGTGGACTGGACTGGGGCCTTTGGGAGGGAAAGGGGGCCCAGTGGCCCCCCAGTTGCTATCTTTTATGGCTCTTAATCCCAGGAGGCCTTGGTGTCAAAATGGCCCTGCCACTCGGGAACGGACCTGAGGCCTAGGAGTGGGCCAGGCCAGGGCTGGGACAGGGCGATGGGTGGAGAGGCAGGGAGAGTGTCAGGAAGCTGAAGGCAGCACCACACCCTCCAGCACTCTGGCCCTGCCCCCTGACACCAGTGCTATTTGAAGTGGGACAGGAAGTGGGCAACGGGGTAGTGGGGCCCATCGATGCCCAGGCCCTGGCAGAGTCCCAGCAGGCGGAGGCGGGCCTCGGCCGGGCTGGGCCCCGCACAGGCCACACTGCAGTAGGGCTCCTCATACTCGCCAGGCACCTGGGCCTCCTCTAAAGACGTAAACTGGTTGAAGCGCAGCAGGCCCCGGTCGTGAAGAGCCTGCAGAGCCTCTTGGCTGGCCGTGGAGCGCAGCACCTGCAGGTGCTGGGACACTAGGCCAGTGACACCCACCAGGTAGCCAGCGGCTCGTGGGTGAGGGGGCACGGCAGGCCGCAGGCCGCAGGCCACCCTCGCCGCAGCCAGCAGCAGGTCCACCCCGTAGAGCTCCAGGATCCAGTCTCGAAGGTAGAAGCCACCCATGCGGGGGTTGATCTCAATGAGCCGAGGCCCAGCCCCGGTCAGCTTGAGCTCTACATTGAAAACCCCATCCAGCAGCCCGCAGCCCAGGCAACAGCGGAAGGCCGCCTGCACCAGCTGCGCCTCCTGCTCCGGAGCCAGCCCGGTGGGCATGCAGGCCGCCGTCTCAGTGAAGCCAGGCAGCCGCGTGGGGCCATTGTCAGAGACGAAGGCAGCCAGCAGTTCCCCGCGGAACAGCACCACGTCCACGTCGTGCTCCGTGCCCTCGACGAACTCCATCAGCAGCATGGAGTTGCCCCAGCCCAGCCCAATGCCAGGGTGATCGGCCTCACCCTGCAGGTCATGGGCGATGCGTGAAAAGTGCTGGTGGCACTGCCGTGCATCCTCCACCAGCCGCACGCCCACTGCGCCCGCTCCAAACTCCAGCTTCATGACCCCGGGCAGGGGCACCTGGCGGACAGCCCTCTCCACGTCAGCCTCACTCTCCAGGGGGCAGCAAGGCACAGCATGGAGGGAGGGCGAAGGCCAGGGTGGGCCTTGGCGTCGCAGCAGGTGCAGCTGGGTGCGGCTCTTCTGCTTGGCCAGGCGCATGGCAGCCGGGGGGCTGCAGGGCAGACCCAGCTCCTGGCAGAGCAAGGCTGTGAGCACCAGGCAGTCGTCCCAGTAGGAGAAGCAGCCATCTAGCTGCAGGCCACGTGCCCGCACCAGCTCCGCCAGCAGCCGTGCATTCTCCTCATCCCTCCGGTGCTCCGTCACATCAAAGTGGATGAAGGTCTGCACCAGCTGGGAGGCGAAGTGGTTGGGGTCTGACTCCACCAGGTGCAGCTGCAGAAACCACAGGAGGGCAACACACTCAGATCAGCCCGTGCTGGCCGCTGAGGAAACAGAGGGGAGCCCAGAAGGTGGTCTTGGCCCTCAGGGGAGATGGGTTTACCAACATGAGGTGCTCAAGAAATATTCGTTGATGACTGAGTAGATGGGAGGTGCAGAGGTGGGGCATGTAACCCAGCCTGGAGGGGAGGGAAAGCACCCTAGAAGAGGCAGTGCTGAAGCTGGGAGCCGGATAAGAGCCAGCCAGAGGCAAGAAGGCTGCAGGAGGGAGCGGGCAGAGGGGTGGGGTGCGAGGGCAAGTGTGCGCATTCCCACGGGCAGCCTCACTCTGGCCAGGATTTGTCGGGAAACCACCAGTTCTGGGGCTTGGGACAGGTGGTCCGGTGTCTTTGGGGCATTATGCTCTTGGCCGTCATTTATCCAGTGTGTTCTGACACTGGGAGGTACGCACGGAAGAACCCAGTGGGGCCCCACACCTCCAAAGCTCACTGCCCGCTGGGGGGCAGACAAAGCAGCTGGTACCCAGGGCAGAGCAGCCCCTGCAGAGGGTGGGGCGGGGGGTGGTTGTCTGCCGGGTAGCATGTGAGGAGTGAAGAGGCGTTCGGGGTGACTGTGTGTGTGAGGCACAGGGGCGGCCGGGGGAGGGGGAGTAGTGCACCGTGGGAGCGGGGAGAGGAGGCCGCTGTGTAGATGGGGACCAGGAAGAGCCTAGATATTTGGCCTCCGTTTTTTATCTGCTCAATGGGGATCAGAATGCCTATTCTGCCTGCACGGCTCCAGATTCTGTAACGAGGCCACTTCTGTGAACCTGACTCAGGGTCTGTAAGCTGCTCTCAGCACCCTCCTGGTGGTGCCCTCGGGATTCAAACTCCAAGGAAGCGCCTGCCCTTTCTGCAGGCTCCTTAGCCCGGCATTCCCAGCTCGGTGCTGGCACTAACCCTGAATGCGCCCCCGCGCCTCCAGCCTGTCCACCCTGGGCTCCGCGTAGAACTGCGGGGACAGAGGCTGGCCCAGCGCGGCTCAGTGGCTGAGCATCGCCCGATGAAACAGGGGGTTGCGGTTTGATTCCCGGTCAGGGCACATGCCCAACTCGATCCCCAATAGGAGGTGGGCAGGAGGCAGCCGATCTATGATGTTTCTCTCTCATCAATGTTTCTATCGCTCTCTCCCTTCTTCTCTGAAGTCAATAAAAATATATTAAAAAAAATAAAACAACAT